TTCAAAATAGGTCTTAGACTTCCATGCCAAAAAAAAAAAAAAAAATAAATTGTATCTTAGCTTGAAATAGCAGGATATCAAGAAAACCCTAGAGCAGAGAGAGAGGGAAATGAGAAGGTCTGTCGCTACCACCTGGTCATTAGCTGTGGGAACAACAAATGCAATGAAGATCCAACAACAGGAGACCTCCAGGCATGTGAGCACCTGCTGCCTGACTAACCTCTGGGATGGCTGCCCCGTCTGTTGTCATAACCAATGCACTAAGGAATGACATCATACTGTCAGCCAAATGGCACTGACCAGCAGGACAGGGCCATACTTCAGGGTGTACTTCCATCTGGGGGGCCAGGTAGTTTAAAAATGAAGCAGGATTTCCTTGTAGACACATAGGAGGGAGAGAAAGAAAGGACGAAGAAAAGTGGGATGCTGCCTATTTACTTCATGTTTTCATTAGTATCCATAAAAAAAAAAAAAACAAAGGAAAAATATTCTGGGGTCAGCCTTTATTAAAAATGCAACAATTAAATATTTATTGCTGCTTATAATACCAGATGAGGCCAAGTGCATAAGCTGGTGTTACCAAGGCATTGTCAAGCTACCAATTGAGCTTCTGTGCAAATATCAACTTCATGTTCCATGGAATTAGAAAGCTTTGGAATTCTGTAGAAATTAGAAGTCTAGACATAACAGAAATTTGAAGTACAGGCATTTTCCTGAGTGTTAATTGTTGCTGGATAATTTTTCAGTAGTTTTACTGGTTATAAGGAAGTATTTGAGTGCTTTGTAGGATCCTGCAGAATTCAGAGCATTAAGATAAATAAAATACACTCAGTTTCAGGATAGATGCCGTATGAATTAAAATATTACCACTCTGTACACCCTGCAGAAATTACTCATTTCCTCCAATACTTGCTCTTCTCAGAATGTTCCAGGCTATTACTTTTGACTTTAGAATTCATTTTTTATGCAAATGGCTTTTAGACCACCACAAACACAGGAGTGCTGCAGTTCCAGAGTGCAAATGAATGTTATCACTCCAATAAAAAGCTTTATAATTGTTGTTCTGACAACACAGCTGTCTCCACTGATACTTTAAATTCAGAGCCCATGTCCTGTGGTCCTACAGTAGAAACATGGGGGTGGTAGACAGGCAAAGGAGATCCCACACTGCCAGGCAAGGAGAATCTTCAAAAAGCCCAGGAAATTTTAAACACTCAGGAAGCACCGGCTACCTGTTTATGAACTGGTTCACTCTAAAGCAGTCTGGTGACACAATTTCTAAGCTGTGCAGGAAAAAATCAGTTTCCATAGCAATTCCAGCCACTTCCTGCCCACATATAGGGAGGAAGGAAAAATAAAAGGCTTCTAGGCCCAACTATCTACCTCACATAATAGGCTCTGTGAATCAGCAAAACAAGAGCTTTCGGGGACAAGGAAGATTTTTTTATCTCTCTTCTGATGTAGAGACTTTCATGCACTCTAACACAAGCCACTGGGAGCTCTGCCAAAGGCTCCAAGTGCCATGCAGCAATTGTCCCATTTTCAACTACCAAGGCAAGAGAAAGGGAAGAGGGAGTCATTGCACTTGTTCTCTGAGAGAAAAACAAATCTCACTCTTCAAGAACACACATCAGCAACTTGCTTGTTTGCAGCATTTCAAAGCCACAGTAGTTTCCTCACCCGCCTTGGAGGGAAGATGGCTCTTTTACATGAAACAGTTAATTCTCAGAGTGCAGCATAAGATGAATTTAGAGCAGGGGTTGCCTATAGCCTACTGAAAAAATAGAACAAAACAAACACACCCACACAAAGCAAACCAGGGATTAAAGCAAAATGACCTTACTACAGTCCTTCTGGTGGTGTAAAAAAATAAAAAAAACAGCATCAACCCAGCACATGTTTTTTTATTCCCCAAAGTGTAACACGGTAGACTGGACACTCCCTGGGCTTTCAGTTCCCTATCCCTCAGTGGCTTTAAGGAACACAGCTCTGTTGGCTCCTGGAAGATGCTAAACTGAATATAGCACATCCCCTCGTTGCCTTGGAGGTACTGCCATTTTCATTACAAACACAGCCTTTCAACTGCTTTGCTATAATATTCCAGATAAGGGTTTTCTGAAGATTTTGGGACAAGAAAACTAAAGAATTAACATCAACATAGCCTCCCTTTTATTGTCAGCTTCCTTAAAACACAAGCCTGAAGTTGAAATATTTGTTTTATCACCTGAAAACACTTCTCTCCATTCTGAATACCTGCACCATATTCTACAGTTCAAACCCCTGCCATGAGCACATTCCTAGATTTTGTGAACACATCTGTAGCATAATGAGAGTGAACCTACAGGAACAGCATAAAATACTTGGAACAATGTGTGAATAGAGACCTGCTCACATTTTCTTGGTTTTTTACTGCAGTAATGCACCTTCATTTCTAAGAGCATCAATGATGCCGGTCTCATTTTTCAGAAAACAAACCTATGGATCAGGTTTTGCACTCAAGGCCAGGGCCAAAGTGTGACAAGGTAAATGCCATCTTCCTTAAAGACAGTTACTCGTAATCAAAGTTGTTGGACACAGCTTTCCTCTGCTTCTCTTTTCCTCTCTCAGCTCATATAGAGACTTGCTTTGTCTAATTAGATGAACATTTATCTCCTGACAGGCAAGAACTGACAATACTACAATCATCCTTCCCTCTATCCCTGTTTAACCAGAGAAAGTTGAGAGGAAGTGATTGCAGAGAAGACAAGTCCTATTTCCCCAGCTTATACTGCCATGGGCAATCAATTTGAAGCAAAGGTTCCATCTTGAAAATGTCAAACAGAATGAAAAGAAGATAAAATCAAAAATGGTAAAGTCAGCTCTAACCATCCCTCTATGACCAGCTGCTCTCTCAGGTTCTTCTAGTACAGCTAATAGCACAGCTAGAGGAGTATCTGCTTTGTGTGCTGAATGGTGCCATAACGTCCTCAGCCTCAAATTAATTGTCCCTCACCCACTCCTGCAATTCAAGGCAAACTGCTGGAACATCAGTCTTGCCCACCAGTCTAAAAAAAAAGTAGTTTGCAGTCTATGGTGGAGAGCCCTCTCTCCTCTGATCCCCAACCCACTGAACATGCAAAACAGATTTCCTTTTCAGGCACCACAGGTGGCTGTCCATACACCAGAAAAAGAAAATAACTGCAACTGAAATACAAATACAGCAAATTATAACAGTGGTTTTAGCCTGGAAAAGGCATTTTTCTTTACTAGGGTGACCAGATATTCTGCTTTCTCCTTTCCAGTTCCTCTGAAGTTCTCCAAGAGGCCATTTCCCCGCCCACCGCCATGTTTCTTCAGGAAATGCTTTTTATTTCTTTTCCCCCTATCTCATGCTAAAATAATCCATGTCAAGAGAAAGAAGATAGCCAGGCCTGGGCCCTTCTTTTGCTGCTTGTCTCAACATTCACTAAAAAAAACAGAAAAATATTCAGAGCAAAATAATGGCCAGGTTGACGTGGAAATGTCAGATTGACCAGTGTTGAAACCCTTTATATGAGCCATTGCTGAGATAAAGATTAATTTTAGGAAATAGTTTTTGAACAGTGAGATTCCCAGTAGATGGTTGCAGAAAAGTCCTTGTTACAACAGTGGCAAAACTACACATACACAAAAAAGTATAAACCAAAGCCCCTTCCTGCTGCCCTATGAGCCCTGACAGAAGATGTCTTGGGTGGTGGATGCACTTCTTTTATTTCCCACAGATGAACATTGTTACATTTTATGTTAACATAAAATTAGCACCAACTGAAAAGACATGTGGTAGGAGAAAACCTGTAGCAAACTCAACTTTCTGATCTTCTGATTTCAGGGACAAATTAGCATAGTGGAGTATTTTGCAAGACCAACCTCTTACAATCTGCTGAGAGGCATAACTTCAGTTATTCCTTTTCTCTGTCATGTCACAATAGAAATATGTATTTATCCACAAAGACATTAAAAAAAAAAATAAGCATTTAGCAAGACCCTAAAAGGAGGGTCTTGAGAGGAAATCAATTATAATATTGCACTTTCTCTGTCAGAGCTTAAAAGGACCCTCTCAAAGCAAGAGCCACACAAGGGTGAAGTGAAACATACTGAAAGCCATGGGAACACCATGGGCACAGTTCTCAAACTGACAGAATAGAAGCTCACAATCACCTTTAAAGGCTCTCAAGCATAATCAGTATTGCCTCAACCCCTGCCACCTTCAAGGAGATTTAACTGCTTCCACCAAAACAGAGCCTCTCAGGACATTCATTGGTCCCCATGATTATGTAGTAACAAGAGAAGTCGCAGTGAAATCCCTCCTTGTGAAATTCTACCTCTTGCATTTTATCAGCAAAAACACTTTTCCTTCTCCAAGATGAGAAAGAGACAAGATTTAAGGTCAGCCAATACATCCCAAGGCAATTCCATTCCTGTCAGGTCTTGTCACTTCAGCAAGCATTACAAGTTGGTGACCACTGGCTACAATTATCACTGAGGGCTGAACTCCTTCCTTGTGCCTTAAAGGGTGCAGCGATTCTCTTTTGAGATCTTCAAAGGAGAGTGATATTACACTCACACAGGAGCTGCTGGCAGCAGGGCACAGTCTACAATAAAAGCCAGCAATGAATTCTCCTGGAAGCAGGAAACTCAGCAGCAGCAGCATGAGAATGTGCTCACGTACAGAGCATTTCACTGAATTAAAAAATAGGGCATTGATTTTGTTATTCATTTTTGTATTTAACTCAATATTAATCCCTGCATGCAAATGCCTTTTCCCCACTGCCACATTCCCATGCCTCAGCAGAATTTCCAGTCGGCAGCAGAAACAGAGATGTAGGTCCTAAGAACAAATCGATCCGTCTGCTACAGAGACAAACCGTATGTGAGATGAGGGCTCTGAGCAGGCCGTCACTCAAAGCCTCTGCTCTCATTTATCAGGGAGCACCTCCCGCCTGCACACGAGGAGAAGGGTGAAGAAAGGCAGCGACACTTACGCAAGGCATGCCACTCATCCTGGCGGATCGTCTTGGTGATGTTGTAGGTAAGGTTCTTGGGGATGGTGGCTGAGGAGTAGTGGTACTTGATGTACGAGCACCGCTCAATTGCTCCTGGGAAAGGCAAAATGCAGAAAAGCCTGGTTAAATGAATGTAACGTGTCCTGCCAGCCATAGGCCAGATGGGTTTGGCAATCAAAAAACCAAAGCCTAGGAGCAAAGCAATCCCTACCATTCCTGCTCACCGTGCCAACCAGCACTGTTTCTGACCCACGCCACGTAAGCTCAGATCCAAACTTATGATACAGGAAGTTTATCTTTCACACATTCCAGAAACCTTCCAGACTGGCCCTGGAATAGCTGCTGGTGTCTACTTTCACCATGAGATATCTGTGTGGCAAATTACCCCTTCTTTCATGTCTCTCTGAACTATGAGCTAACGACTGCCATGCAGTTAACATATAGAAACTATAAATCCGTGTCTTAGCTTTTTGTGCGGTCAGGGTCATGACTCAATGCCCATACTTCAGGAAATACACAAAGCAAACACCTTCGATCTTTCCTTATATAATAAAAAAATAACACAGAAAAATTATACATTTAGATAGTGATAATTTCCTGACCCTTTCCACCCCACAGCAGAAGGACACGACAGACTACACTGTCTCTTGAAGGTACACAGACACTTTAACAGCAGGTTCAGAGACAGAATTCATTGGCATAGCTGAACAACGAGGTTCAGATGGCAACATCAATGGCTGAATGGGCCATTTTTTTCTCTGTATTTCCCTCAGGATTTCACCCATGTTCCATGGAAAAAAGAACCATGTGCTGCTTCTGATGTCTTCTGGTCACATCATTACATCTCCTTTTACCAGTACTTTCCTTCCTGTACAGTAATTTCCCCTCTAGGATCTGATCTGCTGGCATCTCTCTGCATAGTTAGTGTCCTTAGAAGAAAGCATCTGGTGTAGTCTGATGCTTTCCATGAATTACAGCCTAGCCAAGTTCCATATCTGATCAGAAACCTGTAACAGTGTAACTGTTCTTGTATTGATGAAAGCCAGTCAGGTTTCCTACCTTGCTTTTGCTGGCATTCTCAACTAGCACTGGCTTTATTAGACCTTCTCACTAAGCTGTCAAAGCTCATGAAAGTAATTTTCCCACTAACATTATGTTATTTTAGCTCAGGCCTTTGATAAGTAAATAGGTATCCTTAATGGGGTTGGCCATGCTGTTTGTTATTAGCTACCACTAGTCAGAGAAGGAGCAATGATGGAAATGCTTTTATGTATTAAAAATACATTAAGATGAGCACTCAATATAATAAATTAAATGAAACAATGAATTATATAAATAATAAAGAGCACTATACATAAGGAGGCAGATAGAGGACCCTTACTGCCAGCCTGAACTGAAAAGGCAGACCCATTAGCCTTATATTGACAGTTCCACAGGGTGAAATATGCTTTCAAACCACTACAAATACAGGTTTCTACTAAGGGTTGTAAGATACTACTTGGCCTGAACTTAGATCATAGACCATGAATTCACAGCATGAAGAAGAAAACCCACAAAACAAGTTATTAATTACAGCACAGTCTACCAGCATTTTCCAGAGTTAGTGTAGTATAAACATTTGAGGTCCTCATTGTTTGCTTCTCTTAAGTATTCTTCACATTCTGCCTTTGACAGCAATTAGATTAGACAGAGCCAAATATTATAGGGGGAAAAGGCAAAATATTTACATATGTATCCGCCTGCCCTGACAGCGTGATGGGCTTCTGTGTGAGTCTGCACCATCTGGGCACCAAATGTACGCCCAGAATTAAAGTTTCAAACTAAGAATAGTATTTAAATAAAAAGACAGCTAGTGTGCAAAGAGCTTTAGAAAAATCCCCAAATCACAACCTCACTTTCTTATAGGTTTCCTTATGCCCTTTTGCTCAGTTGCTTTCATAGATTAGCGGCATCAGCAAGAAAACAATAAATGCTTATTTGTCAGAAATTAATCTTTAAGTTATCAGCTACCTGCCCAAACAAGAGATTTATATAGAACAGTACACACACAGAGCCAAGACACAAAATAAAAGCTCACAGAAAGAAGGGAGAAAAAATCCTATTCTATTTGCAGCTTTTCTGGAACCAAAAAGGCTAATTTCTAGTAGGTCCATCAGATTTCTAATTCTGCAAAGACTTTTGTTGGTAATGCAGCAAGCTGTTCAATATCACTTCTATCACCAAAGCCTAAAGCAGAAAGAGATTATTGGCCGAATTCAGGTCATCACTTGACCATATCCATAATTTTGGGCTTATGCTTACTTCCTCATAGCTCTAATGAGATTAAAGTGCACAAAGGTAGCTTTGGGACCACTATCAATCAGAGTGGGCAAATAGGGCATGGTACAGCACTTGGCATGGCAGCTCACAAAGGGCACTGAAGCCCTGCCAGCTCTACCAGGGAGCAATAGTGACCACTCAGCAGAAGCAGACAGCATCTTACTGAGAAACTCAAGGTTTTCATGGCCCAGAATGACAATGCTTGTGATTGCCTGGCATTTAAACATGAACCACTTATTTAAGCCCACTCTCACAAGTGTAGGAGAGTGACTCTGCTGAGTCAATGCAACTACATCAGCATATTTCTATCTAGAGTTGAGAATAAACTTTTTAACTTAAGGAAAAGGCTTTCAATTGCCTGGACCTGGCAATAAAAATTAGGAGAAGGAGATTTTATGGACAGTGATGACTTGATACTTCTGATGTTTCCCTACTTGTTCCACACAGAAGAGAACAATATTCAAAATGCCTAAAGATCCAATTCCTGCAGGCCCCTGTGAGAGCAAAAGCATCAAGGGTCAGAACTACTGCTCTGCTGGAAAGCCTTCTCAGGAAAATGCTTACAAAATCCTTACCATCAGAAGAATTACTAGCTATGCTCACTCCAGTCTTTGGGGTAGGAAGCAAAGCAAGCCTTCTCTTCCACACCCTCAAATAGGGTATCTGCTATGTATGGAGCATCCCCAGCCTTCAGCACAAACTTAGACCAAATGCAACTGCAGCTTTGCTCTGCGCTTTGCTCCAATATCTGGGAACGGTATTTATAGAGCAAAGCAGTGAGTGGGGATTTTTTTAGCTATGAGCCACCACAGCAAGAGTTATAGCTGGCCACAAGAAACACGAAAACCACCACAAAGCTGCTCCAGGGACAGATGCAATATATCCTATGCTTCTCTGACCAAAGGGAAACGCCTGCTGAAAAACCTAAATTAAAGTAGCTGACATCTTCCAACAGAGCACTAAGAAAATGACCAGCAGAAGGATGCAACTTGAACCATGCAGAGCAAACCTCTGCTATACCATCATCACAAGCACAGATGCTCAGGGGATTCAGTAGCTGTTAACTGTGGCTGGCAAACCCCCGTTCCTGCAAAGATCAGATGACAAACAAATTTGAGATAAGGAAACTAGAGACAGCTTCATCCTAAGCAGCTAAGTATTCACAGCATCAAAGCTGCACCTCCTCTTACTGACTCACTTAGCTGCTCAGTTTCCTTCCCATATCTGCTAATCATTGCTCCATACTATCACCTTATCATTCCATAATACTTTCTCTTCTCTCCCTTACAAGAAAAACTTTTAACCTAGGCCACAGCAGAAATACCACCAGAAAACACTGGGGTTTTTCTATTCAATTTTTAGAATTTTACCAACTAGCATGCTGATGTTAGTCCAGCTGCTAGAGAAGCTCAGGTACCACTGCATTACTGGATTTGTAAACACCCTCCCAGTAAAGGTCTCAAAGTGTTTGGCAATGCAGGGAGTGACTGAACCATTATCCCACTCTAAACAGAAGAGGGTTGTGATCAACTAAGGTCATAGTGATGGTGTCTAGACTGTATTTGTCTGGTAGGTGAACACACAACTTTTTCAGAACTTTTGGACCAGTATTTCTTCATTACCATTTTGCCCTCACCACTCCCTTAAATATATTTCAACTCTTTCAAACTGCTCCAAGCAATTTTTACCACAGTTCATTTAAAAAATGGAATGAAAATTCAAAATGCCACCAAGGTTAGTTCTGTCCCAAGTTTTGGATCTCAGAAGCACCCAAAGGCATTTGCCCTGGTCAGTTAGACTTCTGCAAAGGTGGTTGCCAAGTTTGATGAATTTACAGCATCAGTGGGAGGGCATAGTTTAGTACTTTTCATAATACAGACCAACCCATCTGCGAGCTGGCAACAAAGTCTCTGACGTGGTATTTCATCAAACTGGTAACCTGTGGGAGCAGACAGGTGACAGTAATACCACTCAGATCCAGCCCAAGAGTTACTTGCATGGGTTACCTGAGTAGTGCCCTCCTGTTTTGAGGAGTAGAATATTTCACACTTCCCCCCTGCCTCAGCTTTCAGGGCTGCAGATTGCAGAACCATCCTTAAAGGTTCAGCTACAGATGAGCCCAATGCCTGTGAATAAGTTACCTTTGGTAGCTAGAGGACTTGCAGACACAGATATAAATTTCTCCCACACTAAGATTCCTCGCAGAAGTCCCTGTGTTAGAGCAATCAGGAAACTCAGATGCAGGGAGCCAGCAGCTCACTCACTCTGGATGAACTTAGGGGCAGCCATTCCAGACTCCACAAGCTAGGACTGAAAGTCACCTTGCACTCTGTAACATGCAGAGATCTGAACCAGAGGGTACCCATTCATCTCTTAGAGTATGCATATTGGTTTCTAAAGAGGATCCAGATGTAAAGCTAGTATTTGTTTTACTACATCTCCTGTCAAAGCTTTTGATTTTATGAGCTTCTCTGAAAAGACTGGTGTGGATATTTCTGAGCCTTCACTACCTCCAGGCAGCTTTTCCTTCTTCTGTGTTGCAGATACCTCTGAATGAACTGTTTTGGAGCAAGCAATTCCAGAAAATTCACCCTTTGTGCTAGTTCTAATTTTCACAAACCTGTTTGAGAATTACTACACAAACATTTCCTAGTAAAACAAATCTTAGCCTCTGGCTTGCAAACTGCACTCACTACATATATTTGCTCTTCATTATGAGAAACAGCCTTCAGTATGAGAGATTGCCTTAATTCCATGGTTTGGTTACTGTTCCC